CTCCCGCCCCCACCTCCCGCTATCTCTTGGTCCCCTTCCCATTTGTGCGCGAGTGGCAAATGCTGGGAGTTAAACCCAGTACCCCACTCCTACAAATGTTTTTAAGTCTGACTCCAGTTCGGGGGCTGTGAGATCCAGGGACGCAGGGTCACTGCCTGTGTAAGTGCGCGAGGGCGTCCCGTGTGACACAGCCGGCAGGAGCTTGAGTCACTTCCTCTTCTTACAAAGTCACCAACGACGACAGGATTTCATCCGCTTCTAATCACCTGCCCAGAACCCCACCCCCAACCGGATATGAACTGGGGGCGGCTGTTCCCAGCACAGGAATTCTGGGATACACTTTCCAACCCCGCAGAGGCTTTCTGGGAAATGCCCAAGAAATGGTGCCCAGGCCAAGGTCTAGAGTTGAGCTTACAGGAAGAGCTATTGGAAAAGGGAGCTGAGCTGCATGTGCTAAGGTCCTGGGGTCGACTCAAGACAACCCTTTTGTAGGGCATGGAGCATAAAGAGGAAGAAATGAAAGGGACTGATACTAGGTCCCCAGGAGCCTGGGTCCCTCAGGAGAATGAGAGGCCCCTGGTGGACTGAAGTGTCCTTCAAATATGACTGTGGTTGTCAGAGATTAAGAGATTAAGGTGGACTGAAGTGAGATTAAGGTGGACTGAAGTGTCCTTCAAATATGACTGTGGTTGTCATCCTTGCTATTGTGCCTGCTGTGGCAATGGCAGGAGGCAGGACAGGGACAGAATGGCTGTCCTTGATAATGCACCAGGGAGAGGTTTTGAAAGTGGTGAAGGGCCCAGGCCGGCTTGGAATTCACAGCAACCCTCCTGCCTCAGCCTCCTGAGTGCCGGGATTGCGGGCCTGCACAGCCATGACCTGCTAAAACGTTATTTTAGCAATAAAAACACTTGATAAGTGTCATGTATGCTATACTTAGTAAGACTTGTAGGTAGACATAGAAAACCCAACCTGTAGCTTGTCCACATCCAATTCCTTGCTTTTGTAGATGGCAAAACTGAGAGTCAGAAGGGGAGCTGAGGATATAGCTTAGCGGCACAGGCGCCTGCCTGGCAAGCACAAGGTCCAGAGTTCGATTCCCAGTACAGAAAAAAAATCCTCATTATTAGTCGGGCATGGTGGCACACACCTGTAATCCCAGCACTGAGAAGGCTGAGTCAGGAGAATTGCCACGAGTTCAAGACCAGCCTGGACTACAAAGTGAGCTCAAGGCCGGCCTGAACAGCATGGCAAGACCCTGTCTCAAAAAGACAAAAAAAAAGGAGGTGGGAAGAATTTTCCCAAGGGCAGCTGCTAGCAAGAGCGTAGTAAACATAAACAAACAAAAAAAAAAAGAGCGTAGTAAACATGCAGCTTTCCCAGACCCCTGCTCCTCGCCCTCCTCTCCGGAGGAGGGGAACGTCCCCCCTCTTCTGGCCCCAGGGCCTCACAGGTCTGAGCTGTTCAGAACCAGGAAGTCAGTGCTGGGGCGTGGGGCCCTAATAATCATCTTATCCAACACCAAAGCAGGGAGACGCTGTCTTCATTTAGTTGATTAAAAGGAAGAGTTCCAGAACCGGGCATGATGAGCACATACCTGTAATCCCAGCACTCAGGAGGCTGAGGCAGGAGGATCACTGTGAGTCTGAAGCCAGACTGGGCTACAAAGTGACTTTAAGGCCAGCATGAACTACATAGTGAAACGCTGTCTCAAAAAAAAAAAAGGAAAAGAAAAAGAAAAAGTTCCAATGCTCATTGGAAATAAAAATTTGCAAAGATTTAGCACTTTCTATTCATTTAATTTTTGAGACACGACCTCACTATGTCACCCAAGCTGGCCCCAAACTCCTGGGCTCAAGAAGTCCTCCTACCTCAGCCTTCCTAGGTACCCAGCCCAGGTGACTCAGGCATTTTAAGAGGAAAAAAATACAAGATGAGGCATCCATCTACTTGAAAAAATAATAATAACATTGGGCCGGGGATGTAGCTCAATGAGTGGCACAGCACCTGCCTGGCAAGCACAAGGCCCTGAATTTGATTCCTGGTACCGGAAATATGATGATGATGATGATGATGATGTCAACAAAGATAAAAGCCAGGTGTGGTATCACACACTGTAATCCCAGCCCTTAGGAGGCTGAGGCAGGAGGATCACAAGTTTGAAACCAGACTGTGCTACGTAGTGAGACCCTGTCTCAAAAACAAACAAACAAAAAAATCTATGGATCCCAGAGCGCCATCCACTCCCTGGCTGCCCTGGCTACCATCCTGGCTGAGCTTGACCCACGAGAGCCCTGGATTCGGATTCAAATCGTAGGTCGCAGCATCTGCCTCAAGGGCAGCCACCCCCACCAGAATGGGAAGGAAGCCACAGGGCTTCTGAGCCCTTCTCCTGCCGGGGCAGGGACCGTGTCATCCTCTGACACCCAGATTCTTACAGCGCTCTGTGGCCCCTCACTGGCCTTCTCGGCCCCCACTACTCCGTGCACTCCAAATCATTCGTTCTCATTTTCTTTGCCCATAATGCTGTAGTTGATGTCTCTAAGAGCAGCACCCGGGGCAGCCTTTTTTTTTTTTTGGTGGCATTGAACCCACAGCCTTCATGCTGAGCTGAGTCCCAGGCCTGTTTTGTTTTGTCTTGTTTTGTTTTGTTTTGTTTTGTGTGACAGGGTCTTGCTAAGTTTCCCAGGCTGGACTTAACGTTGGAATCCTCCTGCTTCTGTCTCCCAGAGTGCTGTGGGTGATAGGTGTGTTGCCAGCACTCCATGCTTAGCTCGCCCTTTCTAAACTTGGTAACCTGGGGCAGCTGTGCCTCTCTGTGCCTCAGTTTTCTCCCCTGGGAAATGGGGCTGATCCTGGTAGCCCAACCTGACTGTCACAGGAACCACTGAGTAAATACAGGAAGTCCTGG